TCAGAATTTTAATGGTTGATAGGCACAATTACCTATAATACTAAAAATTCCATGTTTCATGCAATTCACTACATGTTATGTATGCCTCTCAACTCAGCTTGAAATAGTCATCAGATGGACAGTAACAGTGCCCAGTGTGATACTCTGTCACTGGGGCCACTTGGATTTTTCAGAGCCCAGAGGCAGTTTCCACTTGACTCATTAGGCATTTGTTTAACCAGCATCATCAGTTCTCGGGTTCCAACTTAGCATTGGAAACTAAGGCTTTAATAATGAACACAAAGTGGTTGAAGACTGGCCCAATCTATATTATATTGAGCACTAATGAAATCCTGGTGCTTTCAAAAACTCAATAATTAAACTGGGCAAGACACATATCAGGTTTAGTTTACAGAGTACTTAAAACAATTGAGTAGGATAATTGATGATTAAAATACAAAGGATCTGCAATTTGTTCTCTAGAATGAAAATTAGAACACTAAAGAAAATACACATACTCCTAAATGAATGACATGATACACATGTAAATGGGTTAAAATATTCAAAAAATCATAAAAGGTAATTCATAGTCAACACAGATAAACTATACTATATTTCAGCAAAAGTTTATTTAAAAAAATCAGGGTTTTCTTCCCTCTCCCATTGGAAGGGTACTATAGAAGAGAAATAGAACTGATCCATAAAAGCTCTGTAATATCACCAAAAGACATTGAAAACTGAGTGAGGCTCTTAAAAGTAACCAGGGAATATAGTTTCCAGTCATATTTCCCTCCTGTATGCCTTAGATTGTCTTAGAGTGCCATGCCTCTGTGATACTGCTGGACCTAGCTTCCTTAGTGTGCTTTATGAGAAACTCCATTTGGGGTAGGAGGCAGCTAAGGAAGCAGCAGCAAGACAAGAAAATGGCACTCTATGGCAATGCCACAATGGAAAAAAGCCATTAAATACCACTAACATTAAGATAAAATACATTGCATATGAAACATACAGTAGCCTTGATAGAAGACTGCAAACATATAGCACTGAATCTATAATATAATAAAAATGGAAGAAAATGAAACTTGTTTTGCTCGCTAAGATGACACTACTAAGCCATTAACAGTAGGTCATGTACTTATATTTTCTTACCGGAAGTAGTGATAGGACTGGACTCAGCCACGTAAACCCTGTATCCCATCGTCCTTGCGCTAAGCAATAATTATTTATTTGCAAGACAGTAGCCACCACCAGGTAAAACGTTAACTGGACCATCCAAAGATTAAATTCACAACTGTATTCTCTTTAAAATCAGGCACCTAATAGAGTAAGCTAATTCATAACCCAAATATACATATGTACTTTACCTTAAGCAAACTTACTTTCATGCAAAGCAGGTCTAATTATTCTCCTCTGTTATCACTCCTGTTACAATTAATTTATTATATATGTATTTACTTTTCCATGCTCTTTCTAACTAGATGATAAACTCTGAAGGTAGAATCTACATCTCCTTTGTTCACCACTCTATAGTGCCTAGAAGAGTGTCTGCTATAGGGTACAGCTTAATAGATAATTGTTGAATCAATCAATCTGTAATCAAAAGAAAAATAAATGGTGGAGAGGTTAATTTCTAAAATTATTTCCCAGAGGATAATGAAACATGAATAGTTTGGTATTTTAGCAACAGATCTGAAGCTGAAGAGAAATAAAAGGAAATCAGTAAACTCTGTAGCAGAGAAAACAAATTTTCTAACTGTAAGCCAGGGGAATCTTGGTTAAGTTTCAAACTAGAAATCACCTTTATACTTTATCTGCAGCATTGGGCTGCATATCATGATGATCGGTAGCCTCCAAAGGCTTTTGAAATATATACCAAGCTCCAAACTCCTCAGCACAGCAAACCCCAAATTTATGTCCACTTCAGTCTTTGCCATTTCAGTGATAATTTACTACTTGGGCTGGAGATAATAAGCAAATACTATATATTTCTACTCACTTACATGGACAAGAAACTTCAATGACTAGCAAATCATTTATTTTATAATACTGTAGCTCTAACCAAACATTCCTATCCTCTCACATCACATTTGCATTTGGTGATTTAGTATAATCAATATTTTTTTCATTGCCTATTACTTTTGAATTAGAGTGCTTACTGATGATTTTATTTTTCTGGAGGGAGGTTGAAGGTTGAAGAGTACACATGTATAAGTATGAGATGTGTTTGGGAAAGGGAATATGAAGGTGTAGAGAGGTATAATGGAAGGCTTTTGACTTGGTCTTATAGATTACACAAAGTATGTCATTTGATACACATTTCTTCCCTAATAGTTCATGCTGTTAAATAAATAATATTCCCTAAAAAACCCTGTCTACAAATCATTTGATGGATGTTTCTTTGGAGGTGATATTGCTCCAATATACAAACAGACCAAGGCAGGAAAACTTCTGTAATAGCCGCAAAAAGTTGTCACCTAACTTTATGTTGAAAGCCTCCAGTAATGAAGAGTGAAGGAACAAAATGGAGTAGTAGAAATGTGGAAAACTATTCATGCTTATATGATGGACTTCTCTGATTGCTGTTGATTCATCTCCAACACATGCCATCCATTAGCAAGTTCTTCACATCCCACCACCAAACTGTATCCTGGTCTATCTACTTCATCTCCATTGCTCATGGTGCCCTCTATCCTTGCCAAACCACTACCAAGCCTCACTGAATCCCCTTTAATTATATCCTAACTTGTCTCTTTTCTTCTCATCTTGAAATCCAACAGTTGTAAGTCAAACTAACATTTTCAGAACATAAATTGTCTCATATCCCTTCCTTGCTTAAAGGATTCCAGGGGCTTCCTATCTCACCCAGAATCAAATTCAAACTACTAAGTATATTGCCTGACCTCTGCTTACCTTCCCAACCAGCCTCTGTGTTCCCATTTCTATCCCCCCAATATACTGTTCCCCTAGAGGCTTTCTATATTTAGTTTCTTCGGCCTGCAAATCTCTCCCCTCCTTTCTTCCCTTGGCTGAAGCCCATACTCCACCAAAGGAGAGCATTCATTACTAGCCTGTAGAGTATTTACCTCTCCTCCAACCTGCAGAGACAGTCTCTGTGCAATACCCTGTTTAACTTCAGGGAACTTCTTAGCATCTGAAATTATTTTAATTATTTACAGATTCATTTTTTCCTTTGTGTATTTTGTTGATTCAAGAAAAGTTTCTACTAATTTTTTTACTGATTGAATAAATGAAAGAGAATTCTTTTTCTATATAATAAGCTTCTGATGATCATAACTTTCTTACCATGGAATGAGCCACTTGAAAGTAACCTCATCATATTTGGGCCTTTTAACCTCTGAAAGCTCATATTATCTAGTATGGAAATAGCACTCATCACATTGTATTAAAACTCATAGTTTACATGCTCTTCTCACCAAACATTGAGCAGTATGAAAGCAGAGACTTTGTATTATTCAATTCTAAATGTCCTGTGCCTATCACAGAAGAGATATTTCTCCATAATGATATGTGTTATTGAAAGTCTTCATATACCACATAGTAGCAGGAGATAACAAAGCAAATCTTAAGTTTTTTCACTGAATTACAAAGAGAAACAGTACCAATTACCTGTGGGGTTTAACTTGGACTGCGGAGGCAGTTAGATTAGTGTAGCTAAATGTTGCCATATATTTTTTTAGTAATGCCCCCCCCAAAAAAAACCCACTTTATTTTTTTTTTTAAGCTTTTTAAAAAAAAAAATTTATTTTTTTTACAACAGGTAAAAAAACATACAACAGAAGCGCTTTTATAAGATACAATTAGTAATACAAATATAAAATCTTCTAAACAATCACTGTTATTGTTCTACTACTAACTATAACACAGTGGCATTAACAATTTGTCCCACTTTTTATACTCATTCTGCTTATTAATTTTAAACTGGTCACAGACTGAATTTGGGAACCAGCTGGAAAAATCACAACCTTGTTTTGGTAATGAATGCTATAGATTTGCAACAGCTTAGAAAGATTTTTTGGAATATAATTTCCTAAGTATGAAAGTTAATTATGATGAATGAATGACAAATTAGTATATTATTTAAATTTTAGTTAAATATTTCTGGGAAAATTATTTTACATGCTTGGAGATACCATAGAGCACCCACAAAATCACCTTTTAAGTTTGGAAGTTTAAATTATGAAGGAAATAATTTGAAAAGTCCACACTTCCATATTAAGTGGTTTTAAAAATATAAATCTTATTGGAACTAATACTATTCAGAATTCTTTTCTGCTTAACAGCAGCTGTCTGGGCTATAAAAAATGGATATTCCTCCACTTTAAAAAATTTGGAAAAATTCTTATTGTGAGTTTAATTTCAAGGAATAATGGTTTCTAAAAATTTCTTTGAACAGGTAATTTCATATGCATATTACTACATTGATTACACTGGTTTAATACCCTTCAGTCAAATCTCCCTTCTCTTTTTTGTTTTTACTTAAATGGTGTTTCTGATAACCCAATCACAGGTGAGTGCCAATCTACTGGGAAAATAACATTCCAAAAAATCTGTGATACCAACAGAAAAACCAGATCATCTATGATTATCTGTGTCTTAAATATAACTCTCATAGTTAAATTAATTTGATTTGTTTAAAAAATAAAAACAATACATACCAGCAGCTTAAACAAAAAATCAAAATTTAAAAGGGCAGGAGGGACTCAATGATGGTTCCAAATAAAAATCATGAAACATGAAATCACTTTGCTCATAACAGAAATTTCAAAATAAATGTGAGGAATTCTTTAAGAGTCTTGTACCACTGGCTTCCCATCTCCTGAAGCCTATTTTCTGTGAAAATGCTTGAAGCAGAATCACAGGGATGGTTGTATTAGAATTAGGCACTGGAACTCACCAGGACAGAAGCATAAGATAGTCCAGAAAAAGGAAACCCAGGTTGGGGAAAGTTTCTCTTTCTTTTAAGAAACCAGATAAGCCACAACATTTACAAATACAATGTTTTAACTCTCTACATGTAGGAAGCCAACCTGCTCCCTTTTGATCTTCTTCTTTGGCACAACCTCAGTGGATTTCTCTGATTCAGATCGAGTTCTAATCGATCTTCTCTGTTGCTTCTTTTCTACTGAGCCTGTAGGACCAGATGTTGCTTCAGGAGATGATATATTCGGAGTTGCCTTTTCATTTCTCTGGTTTGGTGTAGAAATTAGAAGTCTGTCCTGTCCCCTGACACTTATTTCCGTGTTGTTACCAATTCCCTTTGTTGAATAAACAAACTGATCAATAAATTTCCCATCTCCTGTAGCATTCTGAAGAGCAAACACTTGTTCAATCTTCACAACTGGAGACATGTTACACTTCTGCAAATCCAGGCTCCCTTTGTGCATTGTAATGGAAGCCGGTAAAGATTTCCTCGCGGCGGCCGTTTTCCAGGCTATTTTAACAGGAGGTGGTTCTTCTTCTTCCACATTTGTGTGCCGCCTCTGGCTCTGTCTCCGAATTTCAGTACTTGAGAGTGAGGAGGCCACCTCAACTGCATTGGTCTGTTCTGGCTGAGTATTCAGCACTGACCTTGGTCTTCGGGTTTTCTTAACTTCAGCTTTGGAGGCAACATTCTTTTTTGCTTGGGACAAAGCCTCCTCAGGCTGTTTATCAATATAGATAAAAGTATACTGTTCTATTCTTTCTTCTCGGGTCATTTTCAATGCCTTCTCTGCATGGGCAATGCCAATATCCCACTGAGCACGTTCTCTCTGAGGTCAGGGTTTCTGAATCTTTTGTTTCTCAGAGTGATTGCTGGCTTGTTTGGTTGCTTCAGCCAATAATTCTTCATACTGTTTATGACCTTTACACTCTCGTACTCGCTTTTCATGAACCCATGCCCTCTCTGGCTGGTTGCTAAAAAACTGGACGTGATACTCCCGGGCACCTCTTGTGTTAATTTTGGTATGAACCTCGAGCTGGGGATCACTTGAAACCATGCAAGGCCACCAAGGATAGGTTCCCACCTTAGACCAAACAAGATCGCCAACCTGGAACTTAACACCAGCAGACACTTCTGTTGTTGGAACAGAAGGTAATATTGGCTGAACCGGGGGTTCCTCTTTTAGTACTGGCTCTTCTCTTGGTTTTTCTGACACAGTGTCAACCCTCTCATTTGGTCTATTTTGTTCCTCTGGTTCTAATTTGGGGATTTTGTGTGACTTGCGCTCTTCAGATCTAGATGAGTCATGCTTGTTGCTTTTTTTCCTCTTTTCTTTTCTGCTTTCATGCTTTGATTTTGTGTGCTCACTTGCCTGTACTTCATTTAAAAGGTCTCCACAAAGGGAAGACTCAAACAATTCCCTGCCATTCTGGATAGTTTTGGTTATTTTTAGTTTAATTTCAGGTGAGCCAGTCTTCTTTGGAATCACAGTTTGTGGTACCGAAGGAGGAGGTGGTGGCTGTGGAGGAGAAGGTTTTTCCAGAATTTCATGTGGTCTTGTGTTTGGAATTTCTGAATGGTAATAGTCAGTGGGGCTAAAGTTTCTAACTGCACCAAAGCCATTGGCTGATCCACTGGGATACTGATTATATGACTGGTATTTGGTTTGAGTTTCATACATGCTGATTGATGGTGGATAGCCATTTGTGAGTGGAGGAAGATCTTCTGTTGTAGGTGGGTACTGAAAGCCTTGCTGCAAGGTAGCTTCATATGGTGTCTGGCCACCATCTTCAACAATGTCACTGTTGTTATCAAAGGCATCCTCCTGACGGATGTTGGCGGAGTCAATGAGTTGAGGTGGTTGCTGAATTGTGTTTCCCATGATCCCTTGCATGAAAGAGAAAGAGAAATCCATTGTTCTGCTCCAGCATCCTTAACTTTCCCTTTCTCTCATCGGGCCTTCAGTTTGTTCCATTCTAACCCCCCGGCCGTGTCAGTACGATCACAGGAGAGACACTGAGGCCTGGAGTGGGGCTGGGGTGCGGGCAGCCGCCGGGGCTGCGGGGAGAGAAGACAGAACCAAGCTAGGCCGCATGAAATCCCCGGGCTAGATTTCCCTCGCCCCGGACGCCTCTGCCATGGCTGCCGGCACCGAGGAGGGCCGCGGCCGGGCCGGGCCGGGCGTGAAGCTGAGAGGAAGGCTGCGGGAGGTGGGGTGGGCAGGGGCGGTGGAAGGATGGGGGGTCGCCGCGCAGCCTCTGCTGCTAGAGAGAAGGCTGTGGCTGGCGGCCCGGCCGGGGCAACAAGGTCCTCGGGGGCTTGAGTTGGCCTTCGCACGCCTCTCCGCAACGACCAGTGTACAGTCCCCTTCGGCCTCCGCCTCCGTCCTCGCGGCCGCTGCCGCCGCCCAAAAAACCCACTTTAATTAAAGAGATCTGGCAGGTACTGAAGAAACATAGATAGAAATAGAGATCTCAGACAGCAAAGCTGATGGTATAAAATGGACTTGGAAGGAAGTGTAATTTGCTATTAATTGAACAAAGCTGATGGTGAGCCTGTCTGGAGAGGAAGCCCTGTCTGCTTACATTCCACTGGAATGTTCTGGAAGGGCTCCTGCTGCCAGGACAGTAGCTGAAATGATGGTTTTTCCTCTTTCCTGCTGAAAGTAATAATCTATTAACACTTGTCTTACTTGAGAAAATCACATGTGAACCAATGAAATTTTGAATAATACTGACATCATACCCCTACTTAACAATCATAGATGAGCTAATTTGAGTTACAGAAACACGCAGAATGGCAGAATAGACACAGTGGTGATTGAAACAACGATATAGGATGACAAACATATTTTGGCTTAAGGGGCATCTTCACAAGTTTTCTTTGGCAGTCAACACTATTTGAAAAAGAGGAATATTAATTGCTTTACTTCAGGATAATGAAATGTGGTAATGGATTTATGATCTGAAATATTTCCTTTGGAGTTGCATAACATGATATCTATCTTTGGGAGGGGGCTTTTTCCTATTATGTTGACATTCTCATAAAGAAGTTTGGACCTCATAGACACTTGCATTTGATTTTACATTTCTAAAGCCTAATCTTAGTGTTGTTAATATTTAAGGAGTTTTGTTGCTCCTTTAGAAAATGGCATACTTCTATGAAATCAATATCATGAATACTATGGGTAGTGATGGTCTAAGAATACAAGCTTAAAAATTAGGAACTAATCCTTTTGTGAATGTTCTCACTTGTTTTTGAGTAGCTCTTAATAAAATGTGACTGATTAAATCATGATGGATGATGGCCCTTCATTGTTGACCTTTCAAATTATGAATTGGCTTCACATTCAACATGTTGATTAAACATTCTACATTATTAAACATTTCTATGTAAAGACTAGGCTATATTAAATCTATACCTAAGTTTTATGATTCAATAAATGAATTGTCTATACGCTAATTAAATGTAAGAAAACCTAGATAGGAAAATTAAGATAAAAAATTAGGTATAGGTTTGTAAATAGCCACTACTTATTCTTCTAGGTTGGGTGATTCATCTTAACAAGTGGTAGAGATAGTATCTGAGCAAAACTTGCCAATCATCGTTGTGTTTTAGATGAGCAATTACAAATTAATAGAAAGCTAAATGAAGGTCATGACATCTTCTCTTCATTATCTTGAATAAAGTTACATACAGTCAGGTGTTTGGGGATATAAATGTTGAAGTCAGCAATGATGTACCACTGAATCACAGATTCTCTGAGTTGAAAGAAATCTTAGGGAAACCTACTTATTGGGACCCTATGTCTGATAAATCACTCCCATTTACAAAACCGTTAATATATTTATTTTTCAGTTCCTTTTGAAAACCTCTTGCAGCAGGATATTGATTGTAAAACAGCATATTCCATCTTTGAATAATTCCATCTGTTAGAAACATTTTTCTAAAGCTGACCAGAATCTGTGAACTCACAATTCCCATCCACTGAGTCACAAAAATAAAATGAATTTCACTAAAGTATAACAATTCTTTTTATGAGTAATTATTCCAGTTAGGAATTTTTTTCTCTTTTCTCACACATAAATAGTTCTCCTTTCC